CTAAAGCGGAAACTCATGATTAAGACGTCCAATTGAAGCATTTGTTCAAATGAAAACAAATAGCGTCAACAAAATGGGCAATCCTTAAAACAGTATACGACTGTTCGGTGCTTAAAAAAAAAACTTGGATTCTACTTTTCAGCAAGACCCAAATTGAAACGAGGGAAAAAGAACCAAGTTGACGGTATATGTGACATAAAACTGGACTCTATTTGACAACCTATTTCTTTTTGACTGATTTTGCACTTCGCCAGCTAGATTTGTTTGCCCTTAATGACATATGGGTGTCGACAGTACACGCATTTTGATGACAGTACATGTACTCACGATTTGCGATGCCACCGAACAAACCACAAGAACAGTGACCATGAGTTTACACAGTAATTATAAAGATGCAAAAATGTATTTACTGGAATCGGATTTGAACCTGCGACCTCCAGAATACCGTACAGGCGCTCTGCTCACTGAGCTGCTATGTCCTATGAAAGGCAACACAGGGCAACCGCTGGAAATATCGCTTTTGTTTTTATAAACTGCTGCAAATCTGTCTGCTGCGGAAGCTTAAATATATTTAAATAGTGACTGTCTGCGTTTCGCGGTTAGGGGTTAGTAATATTTATGGAAAGTTGGGAAACCTCCTTTTTCGCGAAGTTTTACTGATACCTTTTCCACTTTCTTAGGCCATGTTTGTCAGATATAGGCCCGATGTGCGCGAAGAAAAACAGTTGGCGTTCCCAGGTATGAAAGTTATAGATGCAATACAATAAAAAGTTTATTATCCCATAGGACTAACAAGGATATTCTATGGGCCTTTTTACACACAGTTATTAAGAAACACATGTATAATGGATCTGAATTATCAAAAATACATAAAGTACTGCACTCTTGGAAATACAATAATACCTTTCTGAGAATAAGCCTATAACTCCGTAGGGTGTGTGTAAAATAAAACTGAAGTCGGGGCGTTTAGCTCTGTCGTCCTTTTATGCAAAATATCTGAGATAAATCATTTCCCTAAAGAGTCCACAAAAGTGCGTAAACACAGTGACCGGTTCGTCCCGAACATACATACGCCAGGAAAGATCAGACGAAGAGAGCGAGGAACTTTGCCCTCCGGATAAGCAAACTAGCTGAACTGCCAATGACAATACTGGATCATCCTTGAGCTGACTGACCAAATGGCTGTCAACCGCTCAGGATAATTTCAAACTTGTTGAAGTGCTCACTTATACCAGAGCAAACGAGGCACTGGCATTTCCGTGGCAGGTTGAGTAAATACAAAGTGAATGTAACGGTGAACAGGACCCACATAGCTGAAAGCCAAGCATTGTTTGTGCGTCTCAAAAGCTTCGTTGAGTCTTCACAAAGACCTAAAAATACCATTTCAAGAACTACAACAACCTGTTGTATTTTACATGCTCGCACCTTACATGCCTGTTATTCGCTGTAACTGATGTAAATTTGTTGACTTGTTTGAGCTGGGCTGGGCTGTGTAATGATGTGTACACAGAGACATAAATAGCAACGGCGCTTGGAAACTTTGTTCATAAACATCAAAGGCACTGATTCGAGGCCGTTTTGTGTTTGCTTGAATGCGATATCTATGAAATTACACAACACAGATCAACAATTAATGTTCGGTGTTGTCCCTTTTGCAAGCTGGTCACACGCTGCTCGTATGACAGCTAATCCCAGATAAATCCAGGAAATAATCCCAGAAAGCTGCCATCTGGAGGATTAACACTGAATGCTACGCTTAGCCCAGTTCTTACACGTAGCGCATGTTGTTCAACGAAAACGAACACACATTCACAGACTCTTGAAGAAAGGTGGACCGGCAGACGTAACTGAGGTGAGTTGTTCAGTACACCATAGATGACTATGCATTTACCCCAAGAATATCTTCAGGGAAACCTACTGTACCTTCGACTGCCGAGGTTCCCAGAACTTCCTTCAAGAGTTGAGAGTTTGAGTTGTAGGAACACCAGCGGTGTCATTCGTACACGGAATAAGTTACGTGGTGCCATGACGCACATTCTCAGAAATGATACAGTTTACATTATCGTGACTCGTAAGGAGACTAAGAAGACAAGGAGACTTCCCGCTGTCCAAACAGATTTTGATACGTTTCAAATATGTTTGGAAAGCTCATGGTCTCAGCTGTTGATGCATGAAAAATATGTGCATACGAAATAAAGTCGAACCGCCACAAAAAGGACCGTGCCAATACAACATTCTGCTCATAACGACCAAAGCAATAATCGTATCCAAATCCTCGCTTTCTGTTTTCCTTTCCTGATAATCCCACGCTCGCATAACTTCAATAGCCCCTGCTCAAAATTTTATCCAAGAGCAAAATATTCTGGCTGTACCTGTACCTCAAAAAGTTTCCGGTTCTGGAGTCCGAAAAGCAGTTAAACAATTTATTTAGTATTTTTTAATGACCACGATAATGGTCTTAGTTTTGCAATTTTTTCTTAATTAGTTAGGCCAAGGAGATAGGGCTACTACAACTGTCTTCTCCAACACTTTGAGTAAATCAACCTTTCACGGCCCACTTTTTCTTTATAGAAACAATTCAACAGCCAACGACCCGTTGCAGCTGTATATGAGTTTTGTTGGAAATGAAACGCTGCGGCAAAGCAGAAAGAGTTAGTTTGAATACTGCTAAAACGTGTTGCATTAATTCACCAGTTCACACAATGTAAACTTTGTATTTCTAAAAGCCAGCCCAATTCTTTGAATTGAGAATTAACATTTCACTGTGAGTATTCAAATTGAAAAGTTGGAGGTTTTAGCTCTCTTAATTATGGATAGTGTTCGAAGAAAGGACAAAGGTTGACAAGCTCGGGTTGCTACATTCAGGCTGTTCCACTGGCCCCGTGTATTGGGCATGCCCAACACTGATTGGAAAGCAATATACATTTGAGATAGGAGCAAAGGCTAAAATAAAAGAAAAGCCACAAAAGGAAATGAACAGACTCCAAGAAGAAAGCAGAAAATAGGAGAGAGAGAAGGGGGGAGCAAAAATATTGGATTGCAGTAAATGTCAGTTACAAACAACAGCAAGTATAAGTATCCCTAAACACAACATAAAAACATGTAACAACCCTTTCAAAACTTGTAAAGCCTCGTACGCGTATTTATTTTGCACTTGTGCTATTTTCCCGTCCATTTTTGTTCCAAATAAGCATAGACGTAGGAAAAGAACAGTTGGAAATGCCCCAACAAACTCAGGCAGTCAGCACAGGTAGGATGCCTTAAACAGCCTCATAAGGCATATCGACTTTCATTCTCTTGTTTCTCACTCAAGTTTCCTGTTCTATTTACAGGGGAACACGAAACCGTCATCTGATCGGCTTACGAACCACATTGCAGCTACAAAGCCATAAGAAGAAAGGTCAACTTGATGGTTGGGCTTTATGCAGGATTTTGTTGTCACACCTTGAGGAAAGCTAATAAACGCAGATCGAAATATCAACCCGTGAATTCTGGCAGACTCCACGCTTCGCGAAACAAGCGTATTTTGGACCCGTGGTATTGGTTTTGACGCGAGGGACGATCTGAATGGAGACTAGACTCTCTCCAAGTTTCTGGATAGAAAGCAACACGGGCAAATGTTTTGAGTGAATAATAGACTCCATCCAAGTCTCAGAACTGGAAATATCACCGAGTCGGATGGTGGTGCATCTGAATGACACAATGGAGACAAAGAGGTAAGATATAAAAACTGTCAAGTTGTCCAAGGAAAGGAAAGCTACAATGAAGAATAATAATTTTATTGGTAAGCGAAGTGTTTTCTTTTCCCCCTCAGTTTTATAGATTTTTTTTCGTCGATTTTTGTGCACACCTTTTAGCCAGTAGGCCCTACTACATAGACAATACGTGCATGACTTCTGGGAATTCCACAAACACATGCCTTGTCATTTAGGCTGTTTTCATGGCTTTCAAGTACGTTTCAATTCTGGCACGCACTTCCAAAAATCATAAACGATTTTGCACAAGAATACATTTTAATAGTTCCGAGTTTAGGCCAGAATAATTATTCAACTGACTCAACTTTGGGAAATAGTTAACTTTGATATGCACAAAAGTTGTGAGCTAAAAATAGTTTTTTTGTTTGTTCTAAAAACAAAAACAAAATAAGTAAAACAAAGCCAAAACCAAAAATAACCAAACAACCTACCCCAACCAGACCAATTCTCAGGATCAGCGAGGAAATGTCGGGTTCTGGCATGTGCCACAAAATGGAGAAGTAGGTCACTGCACTTTGTTCGGTTTTATTTTTTTTTGGGGGGGGGGAAATGCGTCTTCCTATTTGTTCCTAGTTAAGGACTCCACCCTTACCATTCAGTGTCATTAAGGAACCAACACTGGAAATCACCGACTCTAAAATAATGTGCACAAAATAACTAAGAAGAACAAAACAGCGATTCCGATGGGAAAACAAGAAGCAGAAATAGAAACAGAACAAAAATGAACAAGGTGAATGATAAGGTAATAAATATTCAGCCCTCATTTGCGCAAACTATGCGTATGTGGTTGAATGACATATCAAAGGTATACATGTTGTCCCCAAACACATGCAAGACAAACTTAGCGTACTTCAAATTTCCCCAGCGTCGTTGCACAGTGCCACAATATCAAACATTTGCCAGCTTTTTTAATTAAAACGGTGCAGTCCAACCAGGACAAAAATCGGGTCAGTCATGCATGTTTCATATCTACCAAAAATACACAATCGTCTGTCGTGTTGATTCAGTATCAAGTGGAGGACCCATCTATTAGCAACAATTGACAAAAGCTAAACCTGACTTAAACCCAGCCACCGTTGCGAAGTAGAACATGATCACCCTATGTTTTTGCAAAGCGTCGTGAGCCCACAATAAAGCCTTTTTTTTATCGTGGACCTGATTGCCAGCACAAAGCTATTAAATTGCTATTCATTGGGGCGCACTGTTGCCTCGGTGCCTATTGTTATGCTATCGTGCCGCCAATCAGAAGGGTAACAGGGTTGCCAAGTTGCCTTTAGATCTCAGTTGAGCCGAATTTTAGCGAGGATTCTTTAAAGTGCGCTGACAATATACACAACTGGTGGACTATTCTAGTAATTGCTTCTGCAATTGAAGCATGAAATTGAGCTATGAAGAAATTACATTTCCACGTCGAATTCCTATAGTTTAAGTTGACAGCAATTTACAACTTGGATATGTATTGATGTGAAGCCGGATATTACAGCTTGCTTGTGCTAAAATTTTGTCGAGACGCCAATAAGTTCCGCGTCCGTCTGTGAAATGCCTGCCAAACAGCATCGGCCACGACGTCAGCAACAAACTAAACAACCCTGTGCAGAGAAGCAGAAACATATGTACACAAACCTTTAATTCAGCAGCGACTTCGATTTTCTGTCTGTTTCCTGGACTTGGCTGAACGCTGCAGACACAAGGGCTCTTGTACCTCTCGCGGCAAACAACAGTGTCGGCGGCCAGCTTCAAAATTAAATTACCTTTCGGCCGTTATTTCATAAAACAACGGACAGGTAGCTTTTGTTTCCGATGACTGCATGAGATTCAGCTGCATAAAACCGTCTCCTTTTGTAATCAAACTAAAAGAGAAGTCTCCTGAAAAACCAGCAGACGAGATAATGTGGGATATGGATCATTTATCGGATGCAGGCAGTGACTATAGTCTTGATGAAGAGAGGTGAGTTTTTCTATCTTAAGATAAGGGAGGATGTATTCATGCAACCACCATAGAGAAGTTAATGAATTCTCAATTCCTTACCGGTAACAATCAGTGTATTTTGGTGTTAATCTAGTTAGTTGCTGAATTTTTGTGTGTATGAAGTACCGGTGGTATGGAGGATTCTGTGAGAAATTCGAAGGGGGTGAATCAAACTTGCCGCAAATTAACCGAAATATGCAGGAGTGTTACATGTACATCATTTTGATGTATCTAAGTTTGTTTTTGGTAAACTCCGACTAAGTGGGTACTCATGAGATCTGACAATTTCCGACAACTTACGCAAAGGCCGACATCTGCTGTCGTTTTGCCGACTTACACACGAACCAATGGTCCAATGTATGATTGAACGTTAATATCATTTGACCGTTCTCTGGGATGAGGTTTCGTCCACACATTCCTTGCAGACAAGTTTGTCAGTTTGGTACTATCGTTCCATCAGCAACGACTATATGCAGCCGATTGCAGAGATTTTGGTATATTTATGGCAAAAAAATGGTCTATAATATGCAGAGGTCTCTCGTTTCAGAAGGGATTCGGTGTCGATTGGTTGGCGCGCTTTTAATAGGCTATGTGACTGCTCAACGTATAGTGAGACAAACATAGGCTGAAATTTTAAGCAAAAATCGACCGGTAATAGCCATTAACACAAAACATCACATCAAATTCTGGCTACAAAAAGTTTGCATTGAAAACTCAGTTTCCCCTAAATTTTATGAAATTTGCATGAGCAGTTTTAGAAACCGTTTGTGAGTTGTGTTAACTGCATTTGTACCCGTTTGAGTTATGCCCTCTAAGAGAGCAACAATGTAATCCCCATCTTTAAGATAGCCCCTCCCCTTCCTACGGGGAAAAATCTCCACATCGCTAGGTTGCAGCAATCCTACTCAAAACATCTACTTGCAAAGCACAAGGAAAAAAAACTTCATTTACAAACTTCAACACAATATGCAGCACCATTATGCCGAAATAACGCTAAATGTTTGCATACGTCAATCTTCCAGTCACAGATAAAATGTGCCAATCTCGGAAACAATCCTATTCTGTCTGCCCTTCGAGACAACATTGACAAGGACTTTTTTCATTATTTATTCATTAGAGGCCACCACAGTCAAATCATAGCACTTCCTACTGATTAAAAATCAGCTAGCTGCCTAATGTGTTGACGGAAGTAATTTGGTTAAGTGGTTGGCAAATAGCGCGAGGGACCTAATCAATTAATTCTGTTTGCTTAGAAAAAGGCAGATCTATTATAAAACGCCAATCAGTATAACACATCAGTGGCACCACATGGGATTAGGTAGAACACTGGTTTCCAGTTATGTTACTCCTGCATGACGAAAAGTATATTTTGAAAAAAGGTCCCTTTCGAGATTGCTAGGAGTGGAGATTTATAAGTATTGGTGTGGACTGGTCGAAGTTCTCGCCCTTGCAGGCTGTACACGAAACATTTAATCTCCTGATTGATCCTTGGCTTAGCACATTCGCACATAGGGATTAGAAAGGACTGTGATGAACCAGATGATTCAGTGTTGCAGTCATCTTGGCACAACAATTACAATACCGGCAATACACCTCCAGGAGTTTGCAACGCGTTCGCCAGTCACAACGCGCGAAATTTGTCGACTCTTTACAAACGGTGGCGCATTGGGTCGACAGATTTCGCGCATTGTGATTGGCCAACGCGTTGCAAACTCTTGGTAGCGCATGCACTATTGTGAAACGGTCGTATCAAATTTCATTTTAAAGGAGGAAGCCCTCTTTTCTTAATACTCGACTGATTTTCATTCACTCGAGCGATTTACGGATAAATTCTAAATCGAAATTACTTCTATTATAGCGAGACTTGAAGTGTTTTCTGCCAAATCAAACTTATCGCAGCCGTGTTTCCAAATGACATTTCTTCAACTAGGGCCTTTTCTGTTGGTGAAAGTAAATAGCTAAAAATATACGACTAACCAAATTCTTTATGATTCGTTGTAAGCGAAGTGAAATGCACTCTCACCGTTTTGATTTCGCGATGAGGCTCTTGATTTATCAGTCCTCGTCCTTTCATATGAGATTCTGTTTCCCGCAAGGCCAGGGTGGATCCAGAGGGGTCAACGGAGGCCATACCCTTCCCCTCCAGGAATCTTTTTTTTGGTTGAAAAATAATGTGAGAAATTCGATATTTATGGTCTATTTTATTTCCTTTCCTCTCAAAAGCGTGTAAAAGGCCCCAGACGAAGCCTCACCCTCATAAACGGTTTCATAAAACATTCCTAATTTTTGTGGCACCCCGGAAAACAACCTCCCAAAAATTTGGTTCTGGATCCGCCCTTGGTTGCACTGCTTCAATACTGGTAACTTATCGGCAAAGGTCTTTGCCTCTATTGTAATGTATGGATGCCGTTTTGACTTTTAGCATCGAGAAGGATGACACTGTCAGATTTGAAGATCAGATTAAGCTGCATCACCTCAAGGCGTTGATGGAGAAGTTTGCTCACCACAAGCCGACAGACGACATGCCGCCCGACGGCTTTGTGACCCCGGGCAGGATAATCAAGAGAGAGTCGGGCAACGTGACGGTGAAGGAGTTTAAGGAGATGATACACAGCCTGTTCAAGACCACTGCCTGGGATGTTCAGATGGAGAACTTGTTTGCCAAGGTGGGTGAAGAAGAGATTGACTTTGAATAATGATGGTGCTGGTATAATGAAAAAGATAACGACAATGACGATGATGACGACGACAGTAATTATGACAACTATGACGACAATGACGACAATGACTACGATAACGGCTATGATAGCGCTGATGACAGATAGCAAAAATGGGATTATCTTTGACGACGATGATCACAATGAAGGTAAAAATCACGACGACAATAACAGCAGTGACAGTATGTTCGCCTTCCTATCAAAATAAATGATTTGTTTCATGCTTCAGGTTGACACATCGGCTGATGGAATGGTGGATTGGAACGAGTTCTGCACGTACATGTTGCTCCATTATCGTGAGAACGATAACGTCAGGAAGGAGCTACCATTCAAATACGAGGCTCATTACAGACACGTCTCCCAAAATAAGGTAGTACATTTTCACTGTAAGGCTTTTCATGGAGGAATGGGCTTCCTGTTCCCCGATCAAACATTTGAAATTTGGTGTTTATGAAATGCCAGTTTCGAACTTACATTCTATTGAGAACACCACAGAAACTTGAGAAACTCGAAACTCTACTCGAGAGATACAAATTCTCATCTCTTATCATTTTATACTTAAAATCATCATTGGACAATTAACATTTAACAAGCACCCCACATTTTGGCTGCCAAATAGCAAGCAGAGAAAAATA